TTAACTTTTAATAAATGATTGTATTCCCGTAATTGTAATATATGGATGACAACGACTTGACACACAACTCTGCAGACTGACAAACATCGCTCTGGACTGACAAACAGCTCTGCGGAGTTGAAGGGTCTATATATTGTCATGGATGATCGTTGAATTTTTGGTAAAGAGTTACAAATTATTTTGAAATTTAATATGAGTTCATCTTCAAATTTGTATATTTGCTCATGCAACGAACTTGATTGTTTCTATTGTGATCCAATTGACCCTTTTCTTGCCCTATCACCAAACATAAGAGAGTCGTATATGTCTGATGATACTTTGCAATAATTATAATGGGCTGAAGAACAACAAAGAAAAGATAAAGAGTCATCTCGGGCTCTCACTGAACGTCGTGACCTCATTGCGGAAGAGTGCAAAGAGGTCGAGGAAAGGATGCAGATTAAAAAAATCAAAGATCATGAGTACTGGATAAAAAAGACCAAGAAGACTATCAAGCTGACTGAAAAATGGCTTGTTGAGAAGGATGCAGAAATGATAGATCTTGGGCGGCAAAAGGACCGTTTTGAAGATAAAATAAGAATTAGGGGCGACTATATAACAATGGAGAAAGAAAAGTATCCATTGTAACTCCCTTAATTTAATTACTATTGTTGTACGTTTAGTATGTGTTTTTGTTTTGTTCTATGTATTATCTTCGCGTTTTAATTATTTTTCTACTAGTAATGATGCACTAATATTATCATAATATTACCCATAATCTTTAAAGTAACCACACCATTTCAAATTAGACGATCAACGTCTTCCAAAACATAACATAATTAATTATAAATACAACATCAATCATTCAAATCAAACGTTGAACAATAGTCTTCTCTTTTCGTCCCTTGCGTCATGTGCGTCTCTTGTGTCCCATCCATCTCTAGCATCATGTGAGTCCCTTGTGTCCCTTTCCCTTTTCAGTTACTACCAGATGTTGTGTTAGTTTTTCTAGCTTTATTTTGCTTCATTGGGACCAATGTTGGAGAATTCATGCATTATGTGTTGTACTATCACATCTACTATGCCTTCTTACTATAGGTTCCTCACCTTGTGACGGGATACGATTTCTATTTTTCGGTCTACCAACTTGACGTGTATCCATAATCGTGGGGTTTAAAAACCATCATCTTAGCAGGAATCTCCCAATCACACGGTTCTGGAAGGGGGTAAACCGCCTCTTCATACGTACTTCGGTACGTTTCCATTTTGTAAGCATCTATAGCCAAATGTCTAATGTTAGTTTTTTTTTTCAAGTGCTTTAAGACCAGTATGACATGACACAAGACAACCCGGTTCCTCCCAATATTTGCATGTACAAGTCTCTTGCCTCAGATCAACTATTCCACCATGATTGAAATCATGCACTTGATATATTGCATCTGAAACACCATAAACCGACCATCCTATCGTACGCTCTTCATTTTTCCTAACTACTTTTTCAACCCACTCCGTTAGCACTGTTGAACGTTGCACTGTAGAGAATATATATATATATATATATATATATATATATATATGATTAACTTATTATTCGACATGATTAAAGTCCAAAATAAAGTCATACCTCCATCGATGCGATGCTTGTTACACCATTCCTATGAAAGACAAGGAAAGAACTCAAGAAGGGGTACTGTAGGCATTTTCCATGCATCTACAGATAAAATATTCATGGACTCTGCACTACCGTTTCGACGGGGAATATGCTCTTGTCCATTTAGCACGTGGAATTTCACTTAGATACACCGCTACTTGCGCCTAGTAGTAGTAAATCTATACCACGAATCTTCAAAAACATTTCTTTTGTAAGCTCTCACAGGCCTCCAAAACAACACTTTTGTTTTATCATTTTTCCCAAACATGTGTACTATGTTTCCTAGTAGATGAAAAGCAGTGGTGAATCAAGAATTCAAATTCAAGGGTGTCCAATTTAAATATTTAATAAATTAAACAAGTTAATATTTTATGATTATCGGGTCGGAATAATATTATCTAATGTATATATAATATTGAATTTAATTCTAACAATTTTCTTACAATTGTTCATGAAAAAACTATATCAATATGAAAATAATCTGTAAAAAAATAGTTGCCAATTTATTCTCAGTGATGATGCTCGAATATCATTGACATGTTATAGGAAAAACTATTCTAAAATTTTTGATTCTTATTATAAATATAAGTATAACTAAATAAATTATAATATCAAAATCACATAATACAGATTGTTTTATAACTAAAAAAGTTGAAAGTAAAAAATATAAGAATAACAAGCTCTCTAGTTGATAGCACTATAGGTAAATTAAAAAAAAAAAAAACTAGAGTGTTATACACCACAAAAAGCTTTAGTATATTACACAACTTTCTAGGTTATAGGATTTGACTTATAAGGTAGAGTAAAATGATGGGTTACTGGAAATTGTTTTATATCCTTCCCATACACACACAAAACTGAAAAAGCACTACACGAATAACAAATATATATAGAGAGAAAAGGGTAAAACCTCTGAAAGAAAAGAGATGGGAGGTAGTGGAGACTCGAGCATCTCCAGCCGGTTGCCGGAAATCGGAAACGGTCAGAAGGAGGTGGAGATGGGCACAGAGCGGTAGATGATGTTGAGCATGGAGGCGACAGAGAGATGATGAGCACGACAGTCACAACAACAAAAGAATAGGGATGGACCGGCGGAGAGTGGTAGAACACGGCAACGACATCGGAGAACAAAAAAAACTTTCTTTTTTAGGGCTTTTGTGTTTTCGATAATATGTTTCTTTTTTTTTTCCTTTGATATGCTATCTTATTAATATTTTTCTATATATTATAAGATTAAATGATTAATGTTAATTATAATTTCTATAAATGGGTTTTATTTTTGTTAACCGCCTCCTATCAAAGCGGTATAGTATTAGAATCGGTTTCTTTTTTTTGTTTATTTTCTGTTGCCATGGGTGTCCTTTTTATTATTCCAATAGGTGTCCCCCTCAAATCTAATATATAACATGTACAAGAAATTTTAAAATTAGGGGTGTCCATGGACACCCCTTGCAATAACGTAGCCTCGCCTCTGATGAAAAGCACATACGCCATGATGAGCATGTTGGAAAACATTTTCAATACTAACCTGAATTGCATCGGCCCTATCAGTTACAAAAGTCAAATCTTGACAATCACGAACACATTCATACAAATTTTTAAGAAACCATGTCCAAGTAAGAGAACTCTCTTTTTTGTGTATTCCGTGCGCAAGGGGCACTATATGGTTGTTCTCATCCATAGTCACTGCATGCACTATGGTTCTCTAAAAATCACCCTTCAAATGGGCACCATCCATAATTATAACTCTCCAACAAAAACGTTTGAACGCTCGTATCTGCAATATATTAAAATGGAACATATAAACACTATAATTTTTTTTTAAAATAATTATATATTAAATAACAAGTTTTTTGTGTTTACCGTGCTCCCACTGACATAAAAACAACACTCGGAACAATCTTCTGAATCGGTTTTTATATAGGCCACTATACTGGGATTATACCTCTTCAAATTGTGAAAATAAACAGGAAGTATGGAAAAACATTCTTTAGAGGATCCCAACAACAGTTCCATAGCATATTGTTTTGCACGCCAAGCTTGTTTGTAATTTACATTGATTTCCAGCAAAGCATTCAAATCCCTTGATATTTCATTAGACCTCCAAACCTTGGAATGAGTTTTTCCTATAATCTCATGCCATATAGTACTCATGACTTTTTTTTATTTGCGTGCTTATGATTTGGGTGTATCTGTAATGACGAACATGTGTGCACGTTGTTGAAAGTCATGATTTGAAATTCATCAGTGGGATCAATGCGTTTTGCATATAAACGCCAAGTACACTTCTCAATTTCACAATGTACCTCATAATGGTTTTGTTAGAATGTTTTGTCTTAAACTGAAACTTTTCTCTGGTTGCTTTAATACTCAAAGCAAATATTAGTTGTTGTTTGTTATCATATGTTTGAGGAACAAACATATCATCATTTGGACCTAAACTATGAAATTGTCCAGATTCAATAATAGGATCAGGACAATCAGGTATGGGAGGCATACCGTAAAAGATGTCTGAAGCTTTTTTTCCCATTTGTGAACTCATCTTTTGACCAACCTTGATTTGACTCTTCATCGTGTGACAAAGTTTTTGTTGGATTAGTGTCTAAGTCCATAACTATTTTGGTATGTACTTGACCCGATGGTGCATGGTCCTTTTGGGGTGCCTTCACCAAAGCAACTTGATAGGATGAATTATGGAGAGAAATGATTAAATATGACTTATTAATATATTATGGGAATAATATATTAAAGGAGAAATCATATTGTTTAATTAATATTAGTTAATAATTAATTGGTAATTAGTTTTGTGACTAAAAGAGATTAATTAAACTTAAGGGACTGGAATTGTAATTATAAGATAATTACAATTTGGGCCATGGATTGCCTTATATTATAAGGTAGATGAATTCTATGGGGGAAGCCCATATGAAATCGTCCAAGGCCTTGAGGAAAGGGCTCCATGGGTTGCTTAGGGCTTAAGCATCCAAATTAGGGTTTCCTTGTTAGATAACCCTAATAGCCTCACTATATATAGATCCCTTAAGGCTCAGAAACGTGGCTAAGCCTCCTCTAGGGTTTTGTAGACGTTTTTGGAAGCCTCCATCCTCTCTCCTCTTCATCCTCTTGCTTATGCTGTTTGTGAACCATTAGAGGAGTGACATTTGTGACTCTAAGCTTTCTAAAGTCAATACAAGGAGGAATTGAGATTGTTATTGCTACATAACAATCAAGGTAATGTCTTAAACCCATTCTTATGTTAATATGATTACTTGTATGCTAGAATTAGGGTTTATAGTCTTGGATAACTTGCATGTACAATAGAGAAACCTAGATCCAAGCATTAGGGTTTGTATGAGCATATAGGATGTTCTTATGACCAAAACCCATCAGTTTTGTCACACAATCTTCCAAACTCATATAAATTTTCTTCTTCCACTGTATTCAATGCCACAGTTTCTTCTTGTGGACACTCTTCAACATTATCAGACACAATGTTTTCAACATTGTATGGTACAATCTTGTCAACAACTTCTGTCTGTTCAACCCTACCCTCAAGCACCTCAAGATACAAATGCACAATCTCCTTCGTTTCAGAAATTACATTTCTGAGTTGATGAACATCTGCTTCGTCTACAATATTCATAACATACCCATGAACCGGATGTTAAAATAACAATGATATATTACTATTGAACACATTAGCTTTAGTTTTGAGCAAATCAAACAATATTCAACGGTCAAAATTTGGTGGAAGCAGTAAACCTAAGTTAGACAACTTTGGTCTAACGTAGGTGTTAATCCCCATTACTGATCTACCAAAAACCCCCCGTGAATAAAATAACAAAACTCATATTTTCTTTGAAAACAAAGTTCTAACACAAAAACCGATATAATATTGCAATTGGATCTATAAAAATGAAAAAAAAAAAAAAAATTAAAAACCGTTTGTATCACAAAAAACCGTCGCTAAAACTCTTGCAACCACCCATTCCATGGTGACTTTAAGGGCTCCGCGGAGCTCCGCGTCACCTCTTCTGCGGAGGTTTTTATCAGCATCCAAACCAAACCCTCCGCAGAGGACTTAATGTCTCCGTGGAGATATCTATATATGTGGACCTCATTGCGGCAAATAAAAAAGTTCAGAATTTACCCTCTCCGCGGAGGATTCATTTTTCCGCGTAGGTCCTCTGGTAGGAATATTTGACGCCTGTATACTTGAAAATACCAAAGGCCGAAGAAGGGGGTTGCTAAATCTTCTCAATGAAATCAGGTTACGTAGTATTTAAAATAAAAAAAATTGGGATTTAATTTTTGTTTATATAAAAAAACAAATTAAGAGCTTGGACAGTGGCAAGAAGATGGTAGCATGAACGAGCTCTCAAATATTAAGTTTTTTTGGTGTGACATTCTTGCACATGAGTGAAAGGGTCTTGTTGACAAGTCCCCTATATACTAGCTCCAGGACCTACAAGTTTAACGTCTTTTTTCTGTTTTTCTTTGTAATATATTAGCCCTTTGGACTATCAAGACATACAAAATGAAATTTGTTATTGTGTAAAGTAATGTTCGTATTTCAGTGAAGCCATTCTTTATTGAAAAAAGCTGTTATCAGTTATCGTATACTTTTAACTAATTATTGATCATATCTGACAGTCCACAAGCTATTCTGGAGTCACTATGTTCACTGTCACAAACCCATAGGTCATTGCGAAATTTCCCTAATGGAGCCAGGTTTCTTCATTTTTTCTAAATTAAAATTTCTACTAATTTGAAAAAAAGGGATTGAGATTTGAGATGTAAGCAGTTGCATGATTAAGAATTGGGCTCTGTTTGCTTTTTCAAACCGGCTATAGAACCTATTTGTAGATCATAAATTAAAAAAAAGTAGTGTAGGGCTTCTTGTCAAAATATTTATATGCAACAACAATATATATAAATTTATGCATTGAAATCATTTATTCTTCTATAGCAGTTGCAACACCATGATGCTTAGCAAAACATCTTTGAACAAACGTTAAGATTACAGAATACAGACTAATATAATATTATTACTTGACCCAAACTCTTCCACTATCGGTCTTCCATTCAGAACATTTGGTGTTAGTGTGTGTTTTGGCCATTATAGCACCCACTATGGGTCTTCCATTCAGAAAAATAGGTCTTAGTGTGTGTTTTGGTCCATTGACAAAATTTTGAATATTTTATTTATTTTCATTTTAATTCAATAATAATTTCAAGTATAATTGTTGTTTTACTTCTTATTATTTTATACAATAATCATTTCAATGGAAAGGTAAAAGTATGTATTATTTTTGACATATTAAATCGATAAAAATATGTCAATAATTTCAAAATGAATCAATATTGAATATTCACTATTAGAAAACATGGGGTTTAGCTACAAAAAATAGATATGGAAAATTTACATAGATAATTACCTACGGAATACCTACGGAATGAGATGTCCTCATTTAGTAACGAAATCACTATGGAATAGCAACAAAGTAAATCTCTAGGTACTCCGTCAGTAATTAGCTATAGAATAGCGATGGAAGTAAATCCATAGGTAATTAGCTATAGAATAGCTACCGCTACCGACATAAGAGATTAGCTACATAATAGCTATGAAATACTGATGAGATAACAATGTCTGGAAATCAACCCCATGGTCTCCCCGATAATCCACCAGAGGACAATTGATTTGTAAACACTTGATTGTTTGTTTTGTTATTGTTTAGTTTCTATGGTATTTTTGGATATCGGAATGGAATGTGTAAAAGTTGGTAGTAGGGGCATTTTATGGTGTATTTTGTATGGTATTTGGGATAAATAGAATTGAATATGATATTTGAAAAAAAAAAGGAAACTTTTAAAATTTTAAAATTTTATTTTTAATAAAACGAAGTTAGTGACGGAATAGCGATGGATTCCCGCCACTAAATAGGACCGTAGGAATTCGGTAGGTAAGAAGTCAATCTTGAATTTCGTAGTAAATCCGTAGCAAAATAGTTCCGTACGTATGCCATAAGAAAAAAATCAATTTTAGTCAAACTTGACTCCTGTTGATGATCCGTAAAAAATCTGTAACTATTCTATAGGTAAATAATCAATTTTAGTCAAACTTGACTCCCGTTGGTGATCCGTAAAAAATCTGTAACTATTCTATACGAAAATAATTTTAGTCAAACTTGAATCCCGTCGGTAATCCGTACGAAACTCGTAGCTATTTAATTACGTACCTATTCCGTAGGAAAAGTCAAACTTAAATGGCCATCGGTTATCGGTAGCTATTTATTTCCATAACAGTCATACCAACGGAAAAATCCATAGGTAATCCGTGGTTAATCTATCGCAAATCCGTAGGTATCAATTACCCACAAGCATTTACGCTACAAACCTTTTTCCATAGCAATTTCATAGCTATAGCTGTATAACTACGGAATACCTACAAATTGTGCGTAGCTAAAGCCTTAGTTTTGTAATAGTGATTATTGATATTTGCTAGAATGATTTTTGTTTGATTTATATATATATATATATATATATATATATATATATATATATATATATATATATATATAATTCAAAAAAAAATGACAGGTCCAACAACATAACAGTTTTAGTTCCAAAAAGCATTCAAAAACTTTTTTGAACATATCTTTTTTAATTACTTACACAGCTTGGTTTAATTTTTTATTTTTTTAAATTCGATGTATTAATATAAATTATAAAAAAGCATATGTATTAATGATAACCATTATAACATTAATGATATCTAGTCAATGCCTTCAAATTTATACCATCAGTCCAGACTCAATATTGTTGGTATTTACTTTATTAATATTATCACACAAATTATATATATATATATATATATATATATATATATATATATATATATATATATATATATATATATATATATATATATAGGTTCAGGTTCATTTGAAACATTCTAATTTTGTGAGACCGTAAGACCAAATCTAAAAATAATTTTAAAATGCAAAATAAATGGAAAAATCAAAAAATTCTTTTTTTAAATATTATTTTCGGAACTTGAATTAACTAAAAAAAAATAATAAAAAAATATTGTTTTTTTTTAAAATACGTGAAATATTCTATTATACTGATATATTCTAAAAAATAATTTTAAAATGCAAAATAAATTAAAAAATCTAAAAATTCTTTTTTTAAATATTATTTTCGGAACTTGAATTAACTAAAAAAAATAAAAAAAATCCTATTTTTTTTGAAAAATACGTGAAATCTTCTAAATAGAATATTACATTGTACATATTCTGAAAATAATTTTAAAATGCAAAATAAATGGAAAAATCAAAAAATTCTTTTTTTAAATATTATTTTCGAAACTTGAATTAACTAAAAAAAATTAAAAATAAAAATAAAAAAAATGCGTCTCACGGTGTCACAAAATTAGGCCGTGTCACATGAACCTAACCCTATATATATATATATATATATATATATATATATATATATATATATATATATATATATATATATATATATATATATATATATATATATATATATATATATATATATATATATATATATATATATATGTGATATTACATCACATTTCAAAATTAATATATACATTTTTCAAAATTAGTGTTTTTAATTTACCTGTTATCACATAAAGGAGTTTTGATTTTATTAATTCGGGGGCATTATATATACTTTATCTTATTATTTCAATTGATGACGAGAGAAAGTAAAATATTGACCAACAGATATATAGGATACCAATTTGAAGCCATCCTGTACCTGGATTTTTCATCTTCACACACTATTTAAACTTTTCATCAGGGGCATCTTGCATATATGCATCAATAAAAACAACAAATCAGCAGAACTCGAAAAAACATGATTACTAACATTTTCATTTTTGTTATGCATGTTTATGGTCTTATATTTTTCTCACTTCTCTTGCTATGCCTTGAAACAGCAACGTCCAACCATTTGGGAGCAGTGGGAGGATATGATAAGGAGAGAGATGCTCTCCTTCAATTCAAAGCAAACCTTCAAGATCCCTATGGCATTCTCTCTACATGGACAGCTGATGGGGATGAATGTTGTAAATGGGATGGAGTCACGTGTAACAGAAAAACCGGTCATATAACAATGCTTGATATTAACTCAGGTGCTCTTGGAGGTCAGATTAGCCATGCATTGCATAACTTAAGCTACCTGACTCATCTTGACCTTTCCATCAATTCTCTTTATGGAGCCATTCCCACGTTCATTGGTTCCTTGACTCGGTTAAGGTACCTTAACCTTGGTTCGAATCATTTTAATGGAACCATTCCTCGGTCCATTGGTTCCTTGACAAAATTAAAATATCTTGACCTTTCTGATAACTCTCTCTATGGAACCATTCCTTCCGAGTTTGGAAACCTCACCAACTTGCAGAGACTTGAACTTGGAGATGTTGGAAGGTGTACAGTTGAAAATCTAGAGTGGTTATCTCATCTATCACGTTTGGAGGTATTTGAAATATATGGGGTTTCCCTCGCCAAACAAAATTACTGGGTAGATGTGATTTTGAGTCTCCGGAAACTCTCAGATTTAGGTTTAGGAGGATGTGAGCTCTCAGAGGTCATGCATCCATATTCTTCATCTCTCAACTCTTCTTCATCTATAGTTAGCCTTTCTCTTGAACAAAACAATCTCAACTCATCGATGTATCGTTGGTTGTTCCCATTAACAACCAACAAGCTTCGTGATCTTTCTCTCTCTAGCAACACGTTAGATTTGGTACCCAAATATCTTGGTAATCTCTGTAATTTGACCTCTTTCTATATGCTTGAAAACTCTGCAGTGGTCAATTTTCCGGATATTCTGAACAACTTGAGTGGATGTGCATCACATAGGTTGCAAGACTTGTTTGTCCGCGGAAGCCAATTTATAGGGTCAGTGTCTGATGAGATCCAGAAATTTTCATCCCTAGAACAGTTGGACTTATCTGATAATCATTTAAATGGAACTATCAGTGACAAACTGTGGGAACTACCCAGGCTTACGAATCTTAACATTTCTTTCAATTATTTTAGAGGTGTTATCTCTGGAAACATTGGAAGGTCCAAGACTCTTGTAATAGATCTATCAAAAAACCCACTCCAAGGTGTTCCTCCCACATATCACATGTCAAACCTTTCTTATGTACGTATTATAGATCTCAGCTCTTGCAAGCTAGGTCCTGGCTTCCCTAAATGGATTCAAACCCTGAAAAATCTTAGCTATCTTGATATTTCCAATAATGGAATTTCAGACACAACTCCTCTGGAGTTTTGGGACGCGTGGCCTTCGCGGTTAAAATATTTGAATCTCTCTTCCAACAACATCACAGGGAAAATACCAGATTTATCATCAAATTTTATTTCTCGTTCAGTGATAGATTTGAGTTCCAATAATTTATGTGGTCTAATACCAAATGTCTCTTCCACTTTGGCATCACTAAACCTTTCCAGAAACAAATTCAATGGAGGGATATTCTTTTTATGCCAAATGGTCAATAGAACTTTAGAATTCCTTGACCTCTCCCATAACGTTCTATCCGGACAGCTTCCGGACTGTTTGTGGAATTTCAAAGAATTAAAAGTTCTTAATCTAGGACACAACAATCTATTTGGAAGGCTTCCTGCCTCTCTAGGATACGTGGCTCAACTCGAAGTGCTGTATTTACACGGCAACGAATTCTTTGGAGAATTGCCTTTGTCTTTGAAGTATTGCACGAATTTAAATTTCTTGGATTTGGGGGCAAACAAGTTTTCTGGTAACGTGCCAGCTTGGATTGGGGAAAACTTATCGGGGTTGTATGCTCTTATCCTAGGATCAAACAACTTCGCTGGAACCATCCCTTTACAGTTATGTCAATTAGCAAATCTTCAAATTCTGGACTTGTCCATGAATCATCTCCACGGAACCATCCCTTGGTGTTTCAATAATCTTACGAGCATGGTTCAAGATGGATCCTTAGCACCACCGTACCTACATCCTTATTCGACTATATTTGGAATTTCAGATAGGGGGATCATCACTGATCAAGAGTACATTGACCATGTGATGATCGAGTGGCTAGGAGATGAACGTGAGTTCATCAGAACTAATCTTGAATTGTTGAAGATGATTGACCTGTCAAGAAACAACTTAACAGGACAGATACCATATGAACTTACCAATCTTTGTGAGCTGCTGGCACTGAACCTATCAAATAACGCTCTTCTTGGAGAGATTCCACAACAAGTTGGTCAGATGAAAAAACTTTTAGCTCTTGATTTATCTAGAAACAGTTTTTCCGGAGGGATACCATCAAGCATGTCTCAAATGACTTCTTTGAGTTACCTAGACTTGTCATCTAATCACTTGTCGGGGAGAATCCCATCTGGCACTCAACTCCAGTCCTTTGACCCATCAAAATATGAAAAAAACACAGGACTATGTGGACCTCCTCTTTCCAAAAAATGTCCTGGAGATGAAGAACCGGAAATACCTTCAGTTGTTGGTGAAAGTGGTGGTGATGTGGAAGACATAGATGAATTTTGGGGATGGTTCTATATTGGTGGGGGCACTGGCTTTGCTACTGGATTTTGGATAGTATGTGGCACTCTACTTCTCAACCGTCGTGCGAGACATGTTTTTTTTCTGTTTTATGATAGTTTAAAAGATTGGATTTATCTGAAGGCAGTGTTGTGCATTGTAAATTTGAAAACAGTTGATACCTAATCGTCTAGAATCATGCCTCACGTGTAATTGGCAGGGGATTTTAAGTCCCATTATCAATAAAATTGTCACCAACACCATGGGTGACCATTTTCTAGGATTGTGAAACAAGGCATCCTCAAAAGTTTATATCCAAAAATGTAGTTAATATTTTATCTTTCAAAGAGCAATTTTTCTAGGACAAGTCTCAGTATAGTTTATGTAAAAAATTAGTGCATGAAACACCGGCCATCCTTACATACACGTAACTACCATGGTAATCTAGTAGGGTTTTTACAACGTTGGTTAAAATTGGAAAAGTAGATGGACAAATAAAGGAATATATGTTCTTGAGTGTGTGTGTTTTGAAGAACAAACCCAACAAATCTTATATATATATATATATATATAGAGAGAGAGAGAGAGAGAGAGAGAGAGACAGAGAGAGAGAGAGGGAGATGTCGTCACATGAGGGGCATGTGTGGTGAGTTAGCGGATGGGAGATAATGAGGTGTTTTGGTCTCCGTCATGTGGGTTTCTTGGTTTACACTTTTCAGGTACCACCTAGTCTCTTCGTCTCTGTGATACTATTTTGTGTTTTATCTTTAATTATAGTGATATTCTGAGGGATTTTTGTAATATTTGAATGATTTTATGATGTACTACTTGCAAAAAAACATGGAAGCAGTCAGGAAGTGACCCAAAAATGTTAAGGATGCGTGATATTTTCTTTGGCTAATACATGTTAATTTGCCTTAAATTTTGTAGGTCTGCATCAGAGGAATCTTAAATCCCTTCTATTTTTGTGTATTTCTTTATTGATGTTGAAATTAAACAAGTTGTTCTCTGATTGGAAATATGAGTATGTGAAAAGTTTCTGGTGCTATCCATATTATGTTTGGATTTAGGAAGTAAGGGGGTGTTTGAAGATGATTCATTCAATTATGTTTGTACTTTAAATGCATATGAATGAAATAAATGCTTTTTATTTGACAAGATGAGGAAGAAACAAACAAATTCCCGTTACTGTGACATTTGAAAAACCAATTCCAGTTATATAGACATATATTATAGTGAAAATCTTTTTCTTGTTTGGCGTAAGTTACTCTGAGGGTTGGCTTTCATTATATAATACATAATTACAACCGAAGATCCTAATTCTATGGATCTGATAATACAACAATATTTATCTTGTATTTAAAACAAGCTAACTATCACGTTTCTTATATTTACATTCCCCCTCAATCTTGACCGTTACTAGGTTAAGATTGTAACGCAATTTCTCCAACATGCTTCGTGTTGTAGGCTTTGTGAGTCTATCAGCAACTTGATCATTTGAAGATATAAAACGAACATCTAATGCCCCCATCGCTACTTTCTCTCTAACAAAATGGAAATCAACTTCTATATGCTTGGTTCGGGCATGAAACACTGGATTTGCTGTCAAATAGGTAGCTCCCAAGTTGTCACACCCAAGAACTGATGCTCGTGTCTAACAAACTCTTAACTCTTTAAGTAAATACTGTATCCAGGTTGCTTCTGCAGTTCCATTTGCCAACGCCTTTTATTCCGCTTCTGTACTAGATCGTGACATAGTTGGTTGTTTTCATGAGCTCCATGAAATTAGATTAGGCCATAAAAACACCGCAAAACATCCGATAGATCTTCTAGAATCCAAGCATCCAGCCCAATCTGCATCAATAAAAACACTTAACATTGTGGACCTGGACCTTCTTATATGGAGCCCTGTAGACATCGTGTCTTTAAAATACCGCAATATTCGTTTTACAGCTTCCCAATGAACATTTGTAGGCTTAGAAAGATATTGACACACCTTATTAACAAGAAAAGAAAGATCTGGTCTTGTTAGGGTAAGGTATTGTAAGCTGCCAACCATACTTCTATACTTGAAAGTATCTTCTTCATTCAAGAGTTTTCCAGAGTGTCGATCTAGCTTATCTGTGATAACATTGGAGTTGAGACGCCTTTAGAATTCTCCATATTCGTACGATGAAGTAAATCAGAAGCATATTGGCGCTGTAGCAAAGTTATTCCCCGTGAATTGTGAAGGACCTCAATTCGCAAGAAATACTTCAATCGCCTAAGATCCTTGATAGGAAATGAGAGAGCCAAAGCACGTATTAACTTATCAATAGCTGCTTGGGAGGAGCCAACAATGACAATGTCATCAACATATAAGAGAATATAAATGGAAATTGCATCATTTACAGGTATAAAAAAAGACATGTCAGCTTTAGAAGAGTGGAAACCAAGATGATGTAGCTCATCACGAAGACGAGAGAACCAAGCCCGTAGTGATTGCTTCAGTCCGTAAAGGGCCTTTTTAGGTTTACAAACATAATGAGGAGTGAAAGTATCCTCAATGTCGGGTGGATGTTGCATATAAACCTCCTCTTCTAAGAAACCATGAAGGAAAGCATTTTTGACATCTATTTGCCTTAGATGCCAACCACATGAGACAGCTAGAGAAAGGACCGTTGTATTGTTGCAGGTTTGACAACAGGACTAAATGTGTCCTGATAATCAATCCCATATTGTTGTGTGTAACCCCTCGCAACCAAGCGAGCTCTATACTTATCAGTAGAGCCATCTGAATTTTGCTTCAATTTAAACACCCATTTACACCCAACAGTTTTAACATCCTTGGGCCTGGGAACAAGAGACCATGTTTTGTTTTGCTGTAATGCTAAGAATTCAGAATTCATGGCGGTTAGCCACGCAGGGTCTTCCATAGCTACACGGTAAGAAGTAGGTGTAATAGCTGTAAATGCTCCTTTGGTGCGGTCATATCGAACAGTGCCATCTAGAAATTTTTTAGAAACGTCTTACGAGCTTTTCCTCATGTATGACCACCAATAAGAGACTCATCTAAAGCATCCATAAGAATGGGAGAGATAGCCGCAACGGGTGACTGAACTTTTGCCTGTTCTAGCAGGGATGACTCCAGATCTGAAGGGGATGAGCTTGATGTCGACAGTGTTGCTAGTGAGCTGGCTGGGCAGGTGAGACCGGCACATGTGGCTGCTCTAGAGATATACGTGGTAACAAATATCATTCCTGCACTGGTGATGTCTTGTCTTGAGGTGGTTTCACAGAAACTGCATCACAATCATTAGTTAACAAAAGAGACAAGTCATAATTTTGCATATGATCATTTAGAATTGATGTTTCAGTTTGAGGAAAGGATGCAAGATTAATTTCTAGAGATGAGATAACAGAATTTGGAGTGGAAGCAAAAGGGAAACGATTCTCATTGAAGACAACATCATGCGATATATAGATCCTACCGGTGGTTCTGTCCAGACACTTGTAACCTTTATGGATAAAACTGTACCCTAAGAAAACACACACGTTCGATCGAAAATTGAGCTTACGCGTATTATATTTTCTTAAGCTGGGCCAACATGCACAACTAAAAACAAGAAGAAAGGAATAATGAGGATGAATTTTTAAAAGTCGTGTAATGGGTGTGGCATTACTAATAGTACGACTGGGCATGCGATTTATTAAATAACACGCCGTCAAGAAGGCTTCATCCCAAAAACGAAGGGGAAGAGATGAATGTGCTAAAAAAGCAAGACCTGTTTCAATTATGTTTCAGTGTTTTCGTTCAGCCACTTCGTTTTGAGGATACGTATGAGGACAAGAGACCCGATGAGCTATGTCTATTTTTTGAAAGTATCGATGCAATTTATGATACTCACCACCCCAATCATATTGAACACAATGAATTTTTGTGTTTAAGAGACGTTCTACATGATTTTGAAAAATGTAAAAAAACTTGCTCAACATTAGATTTGTGTTTGATAAAATAAATCCAAGTGTGTCGACTATAGTCATCCAAAAAACTAACATAATTTTATAAAACCTCCACTGGACACTTGAGCAGGTCCCCAAACATCAGTATGAAGAGGAAAAGTAGAAACACGAACATAATTTTTATAAGGAATTTTATGACTCTTAGTACGTTGGCAAGCATCACAAACAACTGACTCATTATGAAAAGAACGACCTAATTTATTAGAATTCAAAATTGTCTTGACAATTGTTGAAGTGGGATGACCCAGACGCTTATGTCATTGAGGAGTGGAGACCTTGACACTTGACAGACTCTGATGCTGCTGAAGACTTCTGAAACGACTGATAGGAATGGGATAGAGACCTCCTTTTCTTCGTGGCTATGTCCTTAACAAAGAAAACATTAGGGTAAAGCTCAACGAAAACATGATTATCAGAAGCTAGTCTTTGAGCAGAAAAAAGATGTTTACTAATTTGAGGAACATGTAAAACATTTTTGAGAACAAGAGGCTTACATAAACCGAGAATTATTGAATGACCAATGTATGAAATAGAAAAACCTGCACCATTTGCTACTTGCACTTGATCTTTCCCTTGATAGAGATCTTGAACAGTAAGCTGATCCAGATCACTGGTCAGATGATTAGTTGCTCCGTAATCTAAAAACCAATTTGTATCTTAATTGTATCTTCCTCTCATCATATTGTTCCCACTATGATAGCCTTCAGATTGATAGGCATGATTAAATCGGTTTCCGCAAGTGAGAGTCATATGACCTGGTATGCCGCAAACCTGGCAGCGTGGTCCTCCACTGTTTCGACCACAACCACGGCCTCTTCCATGGCCACCTCCACCTATATAGCTGCCCTGCTGATTAAAAATATTATAGCCATTGTTGCTGTTGTAATTGCAACGAGATGCATTGTTGTTGTTGCTTGATTCATGTCGAGAAGCAGTGTTAGCAGAGGATGTGAATTCAACGGTGTTTCCTATGGTAGCGGCTTGAGCTTCATGTGCTATTAAGTAGGAATAAAATTAAGGTAACATTACCTTTTGCTCATTTCTCAGGACGGTAGTTGTGGTAAACAAATCACCATGTCTGAGCCCTAGTCCTGCCAGCATATACCCATTTACTTCTTGATGATTCATCGTCTGACCGATATTTGCCATTGTATCAGCAAATCCGGTCATTTTATGATAGTACT